ACAGCATGCACAGTAGGATTTTGGTGAAGATTTGGTTTGGATTTAAGGTCACAGCTGGGTTAAGGTGTTTGGCCACTGGCCCTGCTGAATTTGTATTTAAAGGGATAGTCCACCCAAAAATGAAAACTGTAATCATTTACTCACTCCCCAATTGTTTCAAACCAGTATGAATTTCTTCTGTGGAACACAATATTGTTTTGGACCCCACTGACTTTCATTATATGGACAAAACAGTTGAAGCATTCTTTAGAATATCTTCTTTTGTGTTAGGAAGTAATACAGGAATAACATAATGGTGAGTAAAAGATGCTAGAATGTTCATTTTTGGGTGAACTATCCCTTTAAGGATTTGAATACATATAGGGTTTTTTATGTGTGATGTTTTGCCAGATGCAGAAACTGTTTATACAAGTATGATATAAAATTTGCAAAGTCATCATTCATAAATTACCTGTGTCAGGTTTAGCAATAATTAGAGTTTATGTGGAAGAGATGGAGATGTCAAGGCATGTTTTTGTGTTGAGCTAGAGAGGGCATTACGCAACCACACAAAAAAAAACAAGAATACAAATACAAATCTTTAAAATAACTGCATCATAAATGAGGGTTTTAATGCAATCAAATCCATGCACAAAGTGATCCAAGATCAAAACCAGCTCATCGTCGTTTCTAAAAGACTTGACAAGACTGAAGTCTAAAAATAGATATAAAGATTTTATAATTGTTACATAACAGTAGGCTCAGCTTCAACTTCTCATGTGCTGCCTGAAGAGAGACTGCAGTAAAGAGGAGAAAACAAGGCCGTAACCACGGTACACATTTGTAAACAAATAAATAGATGATTTACAATTATGCAATAGCATAATGACAACAAAGTAAACTAGATGCGGACATCTAAAGTCTTTAAAAGACAGTACAGGTCGTAGCTGTGACCTAACACATTATGCGTATGCTCAATGCTATTCCAAACCTGTATGGATTTCTTTCTGCTGCTGAACACAAAAGATGATATTTTGATATTATAAAGATTATATATTATTTATACTGTGGAAGTCAATGGGGCCCATCAACTGTTTGGTTACTGACATTCTCCAAAATATCTTTTGTGTTCAGCAGAAGAAAAACATTTATACAGGTTTGGAACAACTTGAGAGTGAGTAAATGATAACAGAATTTTAATTTTTGGGAGAACTATCCCTTTAACTCCATTAGGTTACCAACAAAAGTCAATTTAAAAGTCTGATCACATTTAAAAATGTTGGCCAACATTGGCACTATTTCACTGTAGAACTATCCCTTTTCATATTAAAAATGAGCTGTGGACAAATGGGAACTTGTTCAGGGGAGTGGAGCATCCGTTGGCCTATTTTGCAGCAGTCATTTGCGTCAATTGGGTGCTGCAGTTTTGGAAAAGCCAAAGTCAGACGCCTGGTCCGGGAATGTCAGACTTAGTCATATTAGAATCATTTCCACGTCAGTCTTACGAGTCATAGCATTTCGCCCTGACTAAACGCTCCCACACATGCTGAGAGGCGACTTGAGTTTCTCGTATGAAAAAAGATGGGTTTTTCCATGTAAACTTGCCAGTTAAAGCACAATTAAAGCTGCACATTATCAGCCCCTGCAAAAAGTAGTCAGTTTGAAGATGGTGGGCTGAAAAAAGCGATTTTCTGTATTAGTTAATGCAAAAAGTAAATATAATTCAATATTTAAAAAAATGTCATGCTCATCGCACTATGTAAACATTAAAGTGGTGAACTTGAACAGTATGTGCTCTTGAAGTGCACGTAGAGCACACACTCTATCACATTCAGCTGTGTGGGAGGAAACCGCTCAGAGGCCCCTAGTTCTAAGTGTTTAACTACTGGTATTACATACCCGAGGCTGTTTCGCAAGAGCAGCCTTCCTCTAACCTAAGCTTTTTCAAGCCTCTTCTGCAGAACTGAAACAAAATATATTAAAATAATCTCAGGGGGTTTTAATAAACCCAGACCATCTTGGCAAAGACTCTAACTTACAGTTAGATGTCATTCTTAATTTGTGAGAACCACTGCAAGTGTTTTTATTGGATTAAGATGTGGCTTTAAGATGTAAAAGACACTGTTAATGGTTATTCTTAAATCTTTTGGAGGCAGAAAGAATCAAGTTTTTTTCTATCTATTTCATTTATATTTCTTTTTTGGAATTTGACCTCTTGAGCAACTTCGTCAACATGAATGTCTGTAGCAGGATGTACAGCAGCAGGAGGATCAAAACCTCTTCGTATCCATGGTTTCTACTGCTTGTACATTTGTTGTATGCACACATAAGAGGGGATTCTGTTAATTTGCTGTCTGAAAAAAAAGTGTATATACACGCTAACATTCAAAAGTGACAATACATTAGCAATATTTCAAAATATTCTATTTTAAATAAATGCTGTTCTTTTGAACTTTCTATTAATCAAAGAATCCTGGAAAAAAATGTATCACGCGTCTCTACAAAAATATCAAGCAGTTTTCAACATTGATACTAATAAGAAATGTTCCTTGAGCACCAAAGCAGCATATTAGAATGATTTCTGAACAATCCTGTGACACTGAAGACTGGAGAAATGAGGCTGAAAATTCAGCTTTTCCATCACAGACATTTTAAAAAATATATTCCAATTTTACTTTTATTTTATATTCTAATAATCAAATAAATGCAGCTTTGGTAAGCATGATATTCTTTCATTAACATTCGACCCCAAACTATAGATAGATAGATAGATAGATAGATAGATAGATAGATAGATAGATAGATAGATAGATAGATAGATAGATAGATAGATAGATAGATAGATAGATAGATAGATAGATAGATAGATAGATAGATAGATAGATAGATGCAGGATGCAGTATAATGTATTTACACTGAAAATTGCCTTATAAAAGGAAAAGTGTGCACATTTCTGTTATAGTGAGGTCAATGAGTACATTAGAAGAAAGCCTGCAAGGCTGACCTGTCTTTCCAGAGCTCTGATTATGTTGGTCCCACAGTCCCACTCTTCTTCAACGAATCTTTAACTCTGTCCCATTTTCAGACATCTCATTATAGACATTCATGCACCTGAGGGACAGAAAATCACAATATTTAAAATGTCTTTAGGCCCACACAGAGAAAGACAGAAAAGGGAAGTATCTGCATTCACAGTCTTGCCTGTTCTCTCGTATTCTCTTTCTCTGATCATTTTAGTGGCTGAGGTTCTTTTCTGTGTTTTGCAAATTACTGTAACCCAATCAGACCTGTGCATGACCCAGTGACACAACCATCTGCACTGCCAGAATCATCATGGATGCCAAGACAAGAGTGCAACCCACATTTTGTAAAGCTAAAAAATAATATAAAAAAGCCTGTTCATTTCAATATTTTTTTTTAAACTGGGACCTAAACATCCCATCATTTAAATGACAGTTCACCTAAAAATGAATAGTCTGCCATCATTTACTCACCCTCATGTCATTCAAAATCTGTGACTTACTTAAGTCCAGTGATTATACTTTATAAAGTTATGGATTTTTCTTACAAAAACACATTGCTTCAGAAGGCCTTTATTAACCCCCTTGGAGCCGTATGGATTACTTTTATGATGAACGGATGCGCTTTTTTGGGATTCAAAATCCAGGGCACCATTCACTCCCATTATAAAGCTTGGAAGAGCAAGGATATTTTTTTTATATAACTCTGATTGTGTTTCGCTGAAAGAAGTCATATACACAGATGGCTTAAGGGTGAGTAAATTATGGGATAATTTTCATTTTTGGGAACTAATCCTTTAAGTTTGAAAGATTGCATGTGACAAACTCACAGGAAGGATGAGTATTTGTGCACCTACCGATACCCTAGTCTAGTGAGATATCACAAGCACTAAATAGGCCAGTGGCATGACAGTCTATATAAAGACTCTCATTTCAGTTACCAACCACACAAAAAACCCTGAGGCCCACCACAAATGCACTGAAAATAATTCAAGTACTGCAGGGTGTTGACATCACACAAACAAAAAGTTTTTATTGCCATCACAGCGGAAGGTACTGCACTTTGCTGTGAAAACGCTTGATGCTGGTTTTCTTCTTGGACCAGATCTTTTCACATCTCTTTCTTTTGTCTTTCAAAACATTCAGTAGGCCTACTTGTTCTTGATTCTCAAATTTCAAAGTGCAGCAACACAAAAACACAGACCCATCCTTCAAATTCCCTGCTGAAATGCATGCCTAACATAATGTAATGCGCATTTGTAATTGTATTCATTTTTGTATTCTTTACAATTACGGATTTCACATAGTGCCTTCACCCAGGATGGATAACCTTCACAGCTGGTGTCAAACCAGCAGATGAACAGCAACCTGGATAAACAACAACAAAAAGAGCCAGCAGGTATAAGACGATCTTAAATGTCAGAATCAAGAACATTTTGTCCATAATGTCTTACACAATCCTGAGCACACCTGCTCTCCCAATGCTACACTAAGGGTGCAAAACCATGAGAGGCTAGGCCAAAAAACAGTGTCTGGTTTGAAAGCTTCACTGTCTTAAATTAGGTTGGGCCTCTGGGGTTCAAAAGAGTAAAGAATGGAAAGTACCCGGATGAGAGATTGGAACCTAATTGTGGGAGTATGGTAGATAGTCAGCTGTTACAGCATCCACACATAGCTAACCCATGCCATGATGCTCAAAAATGCTGTCTATGTAGGCAGGTTACTAGATTTTGTGACATAATCACTCTTACAATGTCAAATGTCATGGGCATAAATAAGCATCAAGACAATAAAGTTACACATTTAGGTTAGCCTAGTCAGTAAAATGATGGTTGACTATTTCCGTTCTAAAATCAAAGGTCCCTGAAAAAGATGTGTGAAATTAAGGTGCCCGCATTATAATATTCATTAATAAGGATAAAATACACATTATACAAACCTGACTGAATATGTCCCGCCTTTCCGCGGTTTCTTTAAACTCCAACTCGTGACGTCATCAATAAGCGTCGGCTTGAGAGAAGCGGCCCGTGTAGTTTGCTGGAAACTTCAGGTTTCTGAATCATTTTGATTGCTGGTGAGTCCGATTTCAAGTGGTCCTAAATAAATGTATTCTGAATAGGCTCAACAACACTTGTTAGTTTAATTTAGATGGTCGTTTAAATGAACACGTTTTAAATACTAGATTCCAGCCGACTAGATTGCCAGCATGATTTGCCATGGACGAATGACATTAGAGACATTTACTTGTGCACAGGGATTTGTTTGATAGAATATTAGTAACACAAATTATATTAATCTTCATTTGATTCAGTGGGTGTTATAACATATATTTTACCAAAATTACTATCGTTACCATAGTTTCCTCTAAAATACCACAGTAACAGTTATTGTAACTAAAAAAAAAAACCAATTGATTTTCCATACACTGTTTTCAGAATCTTTCTCATATAGTATCATTTTATATGCTCTTTGTACTTTTTCAATTGCACCTCAATGCTAATATAATCGATTCATGTCATACTGGCTTCTTATTACGTCAGATGTGACTATTAGTATATTTAGTATTATTTACATATGTGATCGAGCCATGAATTATTTGATTCTGTGCATTTTATACCATTCCCTTAAAATGGTAAACAACTAAAAAATAAACCCTTTAGTAACAGTTTTAGCTACAAATATAAATAATATTTATAATACACATATAATAAATTAATAATTGTTTTCAGAATCTATCTGTCATTTAAAGTAATTTTATATGCCATTGGTTAATAACGGCTTTATCTAGTAACATTAACCCTATGGTTACCATGATAATTTTGTGTAAGGGTTAAACAGTTTCCTGTCCATCCTGGTATTGTTCAACTGATCAGGGTTGATATGGGATTTAGAAAGTAATAAGTAATGCAATACTTTTATGAGAGAGTAATCAGTACAGTAATTTAATTACTCTGACTTTTTTTTTTAAAGTAATGTACCTAACACTGCTAATCACTTTATTTCATCAGGCATGATGATGGATTCTCTGTATGGGCCTGTTGCTCTGGGTATACTGGCAGGTGTGGGCTGTGGGCTCTGCCTCGGATGGCACCTCAGTGGGCGTTTTGGCAGATCGTCCCGCAGCATGATGGCGGCTTTAGGAAACAGCGCCGGTGTTGGCAGCGAGGCCAGTGTGATGGGCGAGAGCGGAGAGTTCAAAATGATCCTGGTGGTCCGAACTGATCTGAAGATGGGCAAAGGTAAAGCGGCGGCACAGTGCTCTCACGCTGCTGTGTCCGCCTACAAGCAGGTCCAGCGCAGGAACCCAGAGCTCCTGAAACAGTGGGAGTACTGCGGCCAGCCCAAAGTGGTGGTCAAGGCTCCAGACGAGGACTGTCTGCTGGAGCTGCTGACCCACGCCAAAGAGGTCGGACTTCCCGTCAGTTTAATCCAAGATGCTGGAAGAACCCAAATTGCACCAGGGTCTCGGACAGTTCTTGGCGTGGGACCTGGTCCGGCTGATCTTGTTGACAAAGTGACAGGACACTTGAAACTATACTGAATAACACTATTCAAATAAGATGGGACAAAACTGGGGCAGTTTTGACCAATTCTTAGACATTATAGTTTTTATACGGTCAGATTGAGTGGAGAACTTGAATTAAAAGGGTTAAAATGACACATTGATTTATAGGTTTAACCATTTATTTTAAGTAAACAGTTTACCCATTCCATCATTGAACATACGAGTACATTTGTTTTGTCATAAGTTTATGTACAGAAAATTAGTTATTTGGGAATCTCATTTTTATCATATTAATCACCCCCCTCATACCCAATGGAATAAAGGACTTTTGTTTGTTAAACTTTGGTGCAAAAATGACCTGTTCCTTTTTCAGTTGCACAATGCTAATATGACCTGCGGGGATTTGGATTTAAAACACTGGATTTTTGACAAACTGGCTGCTTATTAAATCAGACGTATTAACATTTTTATTTACATGTGTGATCAAGCCATGAATTCCCACTTTAAAGCTTAATTTATGTTATGCATGTCTGAATCAAACTGTCCAGTGAGTATGAAGGGGGAGGAATTACAAAAAAAATACATGGCACATGAAACTCTGTTTAGACCATATTTTTCTTGATGAACAAGAAGCCTTTATTTATATGGTAATCTGGAGGGGGGGAAAGAAGGGGAGGGGGGGAAAGAAGGGGGGGGGGGGGGAATCTCATTCTCTGTGCACAATCAGATCTCTACAATTTACGTGTATATTTACGATTAATCTCAACTCAGTGAAAACTGAGTACAGGACACACAGGGAGTTTAAATCTTTCTTAAACCAAATTACCATTTGTGAGTTCTCTTCTGTACAAATAAAGGGTAAATTGAGTTTCGGAACAACTGGCAGGATAAACTGGCTTTCTAGTCTCACTTCGCTGCCTTACAGTGACCTAAACATCACAACAATAGCATACACGCATACGCACACACACGCTGCAGCACAGAGAGGTAAGGTTAGTAAAATACACAGGTGTGAAGAGCCGCATATATATTTATATATATTTTAATCATTACCCCTCCTCAAACAGATGGTCCCACACAATGAGCACGATACTGCACAACAAAAGTTTGTTTTTCATATGGAAAACCTGCATAGGTCAGAGAAAAAGTTTGACGTTGCCGTATGAATGTGTCTTCATACATTTAAAACAACCTTTTTTTTAATATATATATTTATCGAGAGCTACACAACCGCATTGAATTACTGGTGTTGAGTAGTGTTTGTTTGTGGAGGCGGTAGTCACATTTTCCTCGATTTTATTTTCTTTCCTGGAATATACAAGTTAAATGCAGACAGACTGAACAAGCTGCTCACACACATCAAAATGATACATTAGTTGTTTTTCCTCTGACTACGGAGTGCAAATCAGATTTTCTGTCTTATTTTAATTAAACTGACTTGCTTCTCCCACAAGTCTCCTCATTGTAGACACCCCCTCTAAATTGACAGATAAAATAGACAGGAAATTAAATCTAGTAGATATTTGGAATGTGAAAAAAAAATAATTCTCAATGAAATCTTTGACAATATAGAAATAAAGTCCTTCATGATGGCATAAAGAAAACACAATAAACAAAAACGATCATTTAAAAAAAAAAAGGTAAAGTAAAAGAATAACATTTGCTCAAATCCCCCGTTGTGAGCACAAAGTAAGAGTCGGACCGGTGGAGGACTGAGGGAGAGAGATCCACGGGGATTGCTGGACCGAACCAAGCGGCAGCAGGAAGAGGGACGAGCGGGAAATGGGGAGGTCCTTACATGCCGTAACCGAAACCTGGCTGGGCCTGAGGAGCCTGTGGGTAGCCAGGCGCTGCTGTGTACCCGTAGCCGTAAGCCTGCTGCGGGGGGACGGCCACACTGGGGCCTGCTGTCAGCATGAGCTGAGGTGTGCCTGAGGAATGGGAGATAGTGAGAAAATGTATTAAAAATTTATTTGAAAAAATATAAATAGCTTCCATTGCAATGTGCTTTCATTGTTTTACCATAAACAATGGGTTGAGTTTCCGTCGCCTGCTCCTCCTCTTTCCTCAAAGACTCGCAGGTCTCCAGCTTGTCCACCTAAGAACATGAGAGAAATAAGTCTTCAGTCTGTGTGTGTTCATTTCTGTTGAGGACTAGGAATAACTCATCAAAAATCAATAATAAGACAGATTAATAGTCACTCAAAAAGTATACAATTTACTAATATAGTTATAATTAATAATAATTAAACTTATTTAATAATTATAATGCTATGAGTTGTAACGCTTAATACATCTTTTCAAAATGACAAAGATTTAAAAAACGTTAGTCAAATTTACTCACATTTTTATTTTTAAATTTAGTGATGTGATGTCTATTTTATTTTATGTTATAATAATAATTATACGAATATAATTTAAAGTATTTAAATGTTAATAAATTACATTTGAAAGTGACCGCTTCGTCGATCAGGGTTGGGTTTCCCAAAAGCATCGTAAGCTTAAGTTGATCGTAGAACAATTGCCACCAATGGTCTCTACGATCAACTTAGGCTTACGATGCTTTTGGGAAACGCAGTCCAGGACAGTTCAACCTCAAAATCCTCAAATTCGCCTCAAACCTCAAATTCGCAACCCGTAAATAAACTTCACACATTTTATGTTATATTATGGAGACAGCATAATCTGAAATTATAGTTTGTAAGCAGATACGCAACACTAACAGGTTGCTAAATTGATGGTATTGTTTTGTACAGTCTATGGATGCCACAAGCTTTGATAGAATATCTGTTGGAAACGAGACAAAATACGTTGTTTGTTTTCCTAAGTTACAGACAGTTGGTGTCTGTTGTTTTTATTGAGTTAAAGCCGGTGAGATTGAGTTCACTCAGTCTCTGTCTTTTGTTTTGCTAACAGAAACTAACGTTTAGTGTACTTGCGTGGGTAACGTTATTTCAAAAGTCTGAGTGTTTACAGAAGACAGTTTAAATTAGCGATAAATCTGCGTGCAGCATTGATGTAATGGTAATTCTAATACTCTTACAATAATGCCGAAAGTAAAAACAAAAACAACAAAAAAACATTACTATTCTGAAACATCTTTTGTAAGCGTGTTTGAGGAGGTGGTTGGTTGTCTCCTGTCGTCGCCCGATTAGGGGTCCGGCTCGAACATATAAGGCCGGATAACATTTCCCTCAGCAATGTCCATCATTACAGGTGTTTTATAAACCTTACTCGTGAGCATCACCAAGCCACAGCAGGCTACAGCATACGTGACCCTAGTTACCTGTGGTTGGCCTGGCCGTGCGTCACGCAGAAAACAACAGGCCAATCAGACGAGAGGCTCATGAATATTAATTAGACAGGCCAAAATCAACCTGTTTTTAGCAGAGCAGATGGTTTTTGGTACTTATACCGCGAATATATATTCTTAAGGCCATCAAAACCTAAAATTAATAATTATATAATAAATTTTATTAATACATTTATTAAATAAATGTAATAATGATACTATAAAGTATGTTAATAAAATCACATTCAAAGTGAAAAATAGATATTTAAAAAGGTTTCATTTGAGTTTAAGATTTAAATAAAAATGATTTTTATTTTTGATACATTGATAATTGATGTCTTTAAATTATATTAGTATAATTTACTGCATGTAAATGTTAATAAATCACTTTTCAAAATGACAAACAAACAGATATTTAAAATGGTTTGTGTTTAAAATGTTAGTCAAATTTATTTACAATAATTGATCATTTTAGTTAAGTGGCACTTGTAGTCCTCCACACATTTATACCCTATTTTAGAGTAGAAGCCTGTCCTTACCTTGCTGAGGTATTCCCTCATCACCTGGATGAAGTAAGGCATGGAAAAGTCCATGATGTTGTGCCTCCACGCCGTCTCCAGCACCACGTCAGGCCTGAGCAGGTCGTAACAGGTAAAGAGACAGGCGGCGAAACACTCCTTCTTATCCTCCTGAAGGAACCACTGCAGCAGCTCCTCGGCCAGCTCCGTGTCCTTCGACTCAGATGCATACTGCATGGCATCCTGGGTAGAACAACAGATCAGATCAGCAACACATTTACAAACAGCATAACTGAGATGACAACCCTGTTGTCCAACTCACCTTGTAGAGTTTGTCTTTCTTGCACAGCTCCACGCTCTGCTTCCATCTGTTGTTGCCTTTGAAGAGGTAAGCAGCGATTCTCCTGAACTCAATCAGCTCGTGCTTCTCCAGACGCTGGGCCAGCGAGATGTTGTCGAAGTTATCGTATGCATCTATAGATGTCCTGAGTGCCTGCGGACGGGATAGTTCAACAGCAGATGAGGTGGTGGACATAAGGTACTGCAACAAGCTACTATAACGGTTCAATGTTTTTTCAGAAAAAATGCTTTAAAGTGTTGTTTATACCTGATAGTCTTCCTCTGAGATGAAGAGGTTGTTAAGTGCTTCATTGACAGACTTGTTGTTGTGGTTTTGTACTGATCGCAGGTAAGGCTTAACAAGAGGAAGCTGCTTAACCTGGAGAAATGGGAAAAACTCTCGTTTTACCTGATCTTAAAGAGGGAAAGTTGCTGAAGTTGGAAAAGGTGGCCTTGTGCTTGCTTGCTTTACCTTGCTGAAGAAGTTGACGGCTCGTGAGTGATCCAGTCTTGGGGAAAGAACTATGAGCAGGTCGTTCAGTAACAAGGGCCTGAACTCCAGATAAAACTGGATTGCTTTGTAGTACAGTTCCACGTTGGCCACCTAAACAACATAAGAAACACAGTCACTGTTATTTAATTCATTTCCTGGTGTTATTATAGTATTATTTATATACTAGTATAGTATTTATTAATTAGCTTTTATTTGAACTTTAAATTTGTTGCCATTTTATTAGGATGTTTGTTTTTCTAATTTATTTAGCTTTAATTCATTTTTATTTTAGTTGTAATCATTTTAGTACTTCAAAAAAATATTAATTATTTTATTTCAGTTAGCTGCCAAGGCAACATTTATAATTTTAATGTTTAATGAATATTAAGTTTAATGAATGTTCATTCATGTTTTTTAAATCAATACATTCACAACTAATGTCTTAAGTTTATTTAATGTTATACTAAGAATCATTTAATAAAAACTACACTTTTACATAGTAAATCATATTTGTGTATATGTAATTAGATCATTACATTTACATATAGATTACATTTACACACACATATATACCAACTCCCCAAATCTTTTACACCCTTTATTGATGCTGGTAATTTATTCAATGCAATAGCACTAGTGTATAAAAACATTTTCCCCCACTTCACCATTAAAAATGTATTAATTAATTAAAGCTTCTTTTCTTTCAGCTTTATTTCAGTTAACTACTAAATATATAGTTATTAACATAGTTTTAGTATTACTGGGAA